CTGTTGCCGTGAAAGTCATTATGTAGCAACCATGGCAACAGCCAATTAGAAGAGGCCCCGAGTCAGCGGTGGTCACTCCTCCATCTGGCAGCCATGCAAAGTAACAGCCAATCCAAAGAGGGCTCCCCACTACCCAAGCTCCCTTCTCCCGAGCTCGGGGACCGCTAAGACACACCTCCGTCTATTCGAGAGAGCTCCTCGATCATCGTGTGCTCCTGTTAACAATTTTTCAATTCCGGCTAAAATAGAGCGTTTCTTAGCCGTTCCAACGGATAACCATAACCTTTCTACATGCTTATTCTCGCTTCAAGGCTACCAACTTTGCGGAGATCACTTCTCTGCACGTTCTACTGAAGTCACATATGCAATTCTAAAAATAAAGATTATTACTACTTCCAACAGGAATAAATAAAAAAGAAGTAAGAGTAGTTAAAAAATTACTCACCAGGCATTTTTGTCAGATTTGAACGATGACGAAAATCTTAAATCATATCAGCACCAAGCGATTGCGTCGCGCTCGTGATACGTACGTCTCACTTCCGTTTCCGTGAATGGTGGAGGTTCGCCATTTGGATCAGTCTCGATCGTGACCGTCTCTAAGGTTAAGGGACAGTGATCGTCGTTCGCGACGGAAGGGAGGCCGATTACTCCCTGAAGGAAAGCCCGAGCATTTTGCTCACCGCCGTTCGTGTCACCTCAGTGAACCACTGCATCGACTGTCGAATATCGGCACATCGAGGCATACTTTTTACTTTGGCACTGACGAAACATGGCTTATTGAAGAAGATGAAGGGTGCGCAAAAAGATAACGTTTCTCGGAGGAGAGGAGACGGTGGAGACCGCAGCTGTAACGAAGTGAATCATCAGACAGACTACAGTCAATTCTCAGATGGATGTAAAAACAAAATTTGCGCTGTCCCCCACCGAGGGGACTACTGCTGATGTGGGAAAGGATCAAGGTGAGTCCTCCTCAAGGTCAACATCTCAATGATCATTCATGATAGCCAAGATCAGAGCAAGCAGACTGTAGGTGTCATTCACGTATTACATCATGTTGTTACACTTCTTTCAGATGTTGATGAGCTATATCTGGAAACTTTGGGCAAAGAAGAACCTAATGGCGCCCACTTCTCTAATAATGAACAATCGGCAAAGTACAATGTACAGAAAACAAAAGATTCTATTAAGAGACAGAAACCTAAAGGACAATATCATGGCGGTGCAGAGGAGAATTCCAAGGTTGGTTTGCAGATGCCTCTATCTTTTTCTATATCTATTTGCTGATTTTTATGTATATTTTATGTATATTTTATATATATTTAAAGGTAGTGGAAGAAAAGTTGCCTGATTATGGCTCAGTGTTGGTCCCAAGAAGTAGAAAGGAGAATGGCAATCATTTGCTGAACTTTCGCTATGAGCGATGCATGATGCGAGATGCACAAAACAGGGATGTATGGAGACATAATAATAACAGTAATAGATTGCTTCCACCAGTGCAGCGACATAAGTACAACAAGGAACAGTTTGTACAAGCTCGGTAATAATAACATTCATAAATAATTTCTTAACTGTATATTATTCAGTAGGTTTTTTCTAATAGATTAAAATCTAGATATCAGATTTCTTAGTTATTTCAAAATAAATATCTAAATAATAGTTAAAATAATCAGATATTAATAGTAATATTAGCACATTATTTGCACATTAAATATACAATTAAGTATACATACTTATATATATTTTTTATATTATGTATAGCTGCCAATTTGTCGTGACTGCGAATGGAGATTATTCTTTACATTTGACTAACCCTGATATTCTGGTAGATTGGAAATTGGTCGAGCAAATTGTAAGTTGGTATATCAATTTTATAAATTTCTCACAAGAGATTCTTTTACATATAATTGATACAATGTGTACAAGTAAGAATTGCATCTGATTTGACTAATATACTTACAGAAATTTCATAACTCGGAAAATCTCTCTTGTCCTATTTGCCTGTATCCTCTAGTCGCAGGCAAAATAACTCGGTGTGGTCATGTTTTTTGCTGGCCTTGTATTCTCTGTCATTTGCATTATCGTGAAGAAATGGGCACTTACACATGTCCTATTTGCTACGGATACATTCATAAAAATGATTTAAAAAGGTAATTGCACAGAAGATATTGAGTACAAATATTCTGCAAGCTATTCTGATTGTACATACTCTTTAGTGTGATCGGGATAACACGATACGCTTTCAATTTGGGTGACACCGTCAAACTACGTTTGATGCGTCGTGAAAAGAATTCGCTGTTCACAACACCTGTAGAATCCGCGATACGTCCACCGACAAGATTTTTGTCCGTTTCGGAAAATGCTGATAATCAAATCTTCTCGAAACTTCTCCTCGCAAGCGGAAAAGACGTAAATTTGTTAAAACTTAATATATTTTATTTAAATACACACTAAAATTGATAATACGGAGAATAATCTTGTTCAGATTGTCAACATCATAGAGGGTGAGCGTTCTGAATTGGAACTTGAGCTTAAAGATAATCCGGACATGGCTCCTTATATCAAGCAAGCGTTCAATGAACTGTTAAAACGGGAGGAGAAGCTACTGTGTCAGGTAACAAAGCATATATTTACGGCTATAAATGTATATTGGCAACTTTCAATAACAAAAATGTGACATTTAAGGATGGATTATCCAAAGATACTCCACCTACAGAAAGTTTAACGGAAAAAGAAATATCTGAGGAAACATCGCAAGGAAGTGAAGTGGATTCTGACGTGTGTAAAGATAATACCAAATCTTTGGCCAAGCAATCTTCAACGGATAGTGTTTCCAGCGATAGCCAATCTACTTCAAGCCCTTCCAAATTTTCTTACTTTTATCAAGGTAGGCAATCGTGCAGATTGCTGAAAATCAAAGCTAAACGTTTAATATTTCGAATATTTCGGGATGCTTTAGTGCTTTAGACTTGCCGAGTAATGTTGTGTTGATTGATTTTCAGCCGAGGATGGACAGCACACTTATCTTCACGTGGCGAATGTGAAGATGTTGGAAATGCAATATGGCAGTTTAGAGCACTGTCCTCCTATGATAACGGGCAAACTTCTGGAAAAGGAAGCAAGCATCTTCACGCAAGACTTAAGACGAAGATTGCGATATCTTTGTCACTTGCCACTTAATTGTCCGTTCGAATTAGCGGAGATTGAATTGAAACCACCGCTTGTATCGGAGGAAGTTCTTCGGGTTTTCCAAGGTGATTGTTTATCTTATTCTAAAACTTCTCTGGATAATTTATATCATGAACATCTCGCATCATTTGTATTAAATAGTCAGCTATGTTACTGTATTGAATTTTTATTATTAGAACAACTGAATTTGAGAAAAAAACATAGAGAACAGAAGAAACGCGAGGAGAGCAAAATGGAGCAGAAAAGTATAGAAAAAGCGAACAGACAAATTGGTATATATTCGACTCCCAAACTGAATATTGGATCGTTTCAACATTTCCCTCAGTTGCAACCTGAATTACTTTCCAAGTAAGCACAGTAATCATTTTTATTGATACCGCCGATATTTCTCACGTATTTGTAAAACGCTACTTTAAGTTTTGTACGCTTTATACCGTTCTTAAAAAAAAATAATCTATTGTATTCTAATATAGTGAATACGCACTGCCACCTTCCGAGTCAGCCACAACAAGTATTGCTAGCAGTCCACCTTTAAGTGCGTTTGAAGAAATTACTACGAAACAGGAAATAGATAATTCGCGTGAACATACTCGGACATTCGCCGACATAGCAAAGTTAACATCAACGATGTCGGTAAAGGCGCACAATAAACCCACCAACGCCTGGCCGGCCGTGAAAGCGAGAGCATCGTTCAACGACGAAGAGGAAGTACTGTCAACAATAGCAACAAGGACGCATAATAAATCAACCAATGCTTGGCCGTCAGTGAAAACGAGAACGTATTCCGGTATCACGAGTACATCGTCCAGTAAAAATGAAAATGAAGTACCGTCAATGACATCGACAAATGCACATGACAAACCTGTGAATGCGTGGCCACTTGTAAAATCAAAAACGTATCCTGACGCAACAGATACGCCATTCAACGAGGATAAAGAAAAATATGCTTCGGAACGTAAGTCGCGCTTATCTCGCTCGTATGCCGAAATCGAATTTATCGGGCTCTATCGTTTGCATGTGTACAGAACGTGTAAAAATTTATCTAACCTTTGATTGCTTATCTGAGCCGTTCATTGTTTTCAGAAGCAAGAGACGATGGTAACGCAGCTGGCAAGAAGAAGAAGAAAAAGAAAGGGAAAGGAACCGTATTATTTACAACTGGTATGACATCTGGCTATTCTTTATAATTACGCGTATAATTATCTCGCCTCTGCGCGTTTATTTGCGCGCTATTTACGCAATTGGTAGAATTCTATTGAATCAATTGTAGGAAATATGTGATTTTTCGTTACAGCTCTCGCCACCAAGGTTTAACGTCGTATTAAACGTACGCGCAGCATACGTATTACATATCTTTATTTCTGGAGTTGTAATTATTTGCCACAGGGTTCTTGCATATTGTGCTTACAAATAAAATTTTACTTCATTTATCCTGTTGTTTAAGTGAATTACATTCATGGAAAAAAACCGTCGAAAGTGTACAAATCAAAAACGTACCAATTGTGCCTGCTAAGTATTGTAATATTAACTCCACTCATTTTAATCGCATTTTCTATATTTTTTAACCTTTCTTCTTCAAAATTTAAATAAATATCCTTTACACACAAGATGCATAATAAAATCCTATTATTGACAACCTACTTTATATACAAATTAAATAGTAAAATAATTAACAAAAGAATATACATTACCTCATGCAGAAAATGTTTCTAATAAGCGCCATCGACTGTTACTTCTATGTTTCTCTACCTTTAGATTCTCTCCACGTTTTCTTTTCTTTCGTTCTTCAATCAAATTTAAAAAATAATTCTGTTCCTTTAATGTTAAGTTTCCTTTTTTTATAGTACAATATTTTTAGGAAGTAATTTTCTAGTCTTCTAAATCTTGTACTTTTTTCAATATTAACATAAGTGTTACAAATGAGAAAGATCAGAATATTCATGAACATTAGTGTAGTTATTTATATCATTAATACACAAATTGCTGCATTTAGATTAAATGAAATTACGATACTAAGGTTGCTTGTAATTATAAATATTAGAGAAAAATTATCAGTATTTGATAAGAATTTTAATTGTAGAATTAGTAAGTTAGTGAAATTAATTAAAGGACAATACAAAGTAACGAAAGTCAATGGCTAAAAAAATCTGTCACAGAAATAAGGTAGAAAAAATTTTATTTTTTGTTTGAAAATAGATGAATTAAAGTTAACAAGTATTATAATCGGGAATCAAAAATAAAATTAATACTTTGCAACTTAATTATTCAACGTTGTAACAATTGTGATCATATCGGCGCTAAATGTTGTGCTAGCTCTATATGTTCATCAGGTAGAAGAAAAACGCAGATTTAAATTTTGGGAATCTTCTATATTTCAAAGTTCGTAAGACGCAACATAGAAGATCAATAACATAGCGTCAAAAATATGTATCCCAACTGCAAACGTGAGTAATTAATATACTTTATTCAATCGGCTTTAACGCCATTTATAGCAAAAGCGACGCCATAATATGATGTCGTTTCCATCACACGTTACGTTGCAATTAATTAAATCAAATGTATCGATTCGCCATGTTTGTATCTGCGATATATATTCTCGGGGATACGTTAATTCATTATCTAGCCAGAGATTCAACTTAATCGACTTCCTCGATGGTGGGTCCGGACGCGCCACCACCGCTGGGCGCTCCACCGGGAGCAGCGCCGCCGGCACCGGGGAAGCCGCCTGGCATACCGCCGGGCATACCACCGGCGCCCTGGTACAACTTCGTGACAATGGGATTGCAGATGGCCTCGAGCTCCTTCTGCTTATGCTCGTACTCCTCCTTGTCGGCCAGCTGATTCGCATCAAGCCACTTGATGATGTCGTTGCACTTGTCGAGGATCGTCTGCTTGTCCGACGCGCTGATCTTGTCCTTCAGCTTCTCATCCTCGACCGTGCTCTTCATGTTGAAGCAGTAAGACTCGAGGCCGTTCTTGGCCGCGATCGTCTCCTTCTGCTTCTCGTCCTCGCTGCGGTACTTCTCCGCCTCGTTCACCATCCTCTCGATGTCCTCCTTGCTGAGCCGGCCCTTGTCGTTGGTGATGGTGATCTTGTTCTCCTTGCCGGTGGACTTGTCCACGGCGGACACGTTGAGGATGCCGTTCGCGTCGATGTCGAAGGTGACCTCGATCTGAGGGACTCCACGTGGCGCCGGTGGGATACCGCTGAGCTCGAACTTGCCCAGCAGATTGTTGTCCTTCGTCATGGCGCGCTCACCCTCGTACACCTGAATCAACACGCCCGGCTGATTGTCGGCGTACGTCGTGAAGGTCTGAGTCTGCTTCGTCGGGATGGTGGTGTTCCTCTTGATGAGCGCGGTCATGACGCCGCCCGCGGTCTCGATGCCGAGAGAAAGCGGCGTGACGTCGAGCAGAAGCAAGTCCTGCACTTCCTCGGATTTGTCGCCGTGCAGGATAGCCGCTTGCACGGCCGCTCCATAGGCCACAGCCTCGTCGGGGTTGATGGACTTGTTGAGTTCCTTGCCGTTGAAGAAGTCCTGCAGGAGCTTCTGGATCTTGGGGATACGGGTGGAACCGCCGACTAGAACGATGTCATGGATCTGTGCCTTGTCCATCTTGGCGTCGCGCAGCGACTTCTCCACGGGCTCGAGGGTGCCGCGGAACAGATCGGCGCAGAGCTCCTCGAAGCGAGCTCGCGTGATGGAGGTGTAAAAGTCGATTCCCTCGTAGAGCGAATCGATCTCGATGCTGGCCTGCGTGGACGACGACAGAGTACGCTTCGCGCGCTCGCAGGCTGTGCGCAGACGACGGAGCGCGCGCTTGTTTGAGGTCAGGTCCTTTTTGTACTTGCGCTTGAACTCCTGCACAAAGTGATTGACCATGCGGTTGTCGAAGTCCTCGCCACCCAGATGGGTGTCGCCGGCCGTGGACTTAACCTCGAAGATGCCGTCCTCGATGGTCAGGATGGACACGTCGAAGGTGCCACCACCGAGATCGAAGATTAGGACGTTCCGCTCGCCGGTGGCCTTCTTGTCGAGGCCGTACGCGATTGCAGCGGCGGTGGGCTCGTTGATGATACGCAGCACGTTCAAGCCCGAGATGGTACCAGCGTCCTTGGTTGCCTGACGCTGCGAGTCGTTGAAGTAAGCGGGGACGGTGATCACAGCATTGCTAACGGTTTTGCCTAGGTATGCCTCTGCGGTCTCCTTCATCTTGACCAGGACCATCGAACTCACTTCTTCTGGGAAGAAAGTCTTCATCTCTCCTTTATACTGTACTTGGATCTTTGGCTTGCCATTGTCGTTTACCACGGTGAAAGGCCAGTGCTTCATGTCAGCCTGGATGGTTGGATCCTCAAAGCGGCGACCAATCAACCTCTTGGCATCTAATCGAATAAAATGAGAAATTAATAATGTTACAAATTTCCACTTAATTTCACTTAATTTCCACTTAATTTCCACTTAATTTCCACTTAATTTCCACTTAATTTCCACTAATACTTCATCGAATGTGATAAAGAAAATGAAATCGTGTAATATCTTTTGAAATTAATTTACATTTACTTGTAATTTGCACATGCTCATCCAATGACGAATCATTTTTTTATCACACTTCAGCAAATATCGTACAAATTGCAAGAATTATAATTACATGAATATTTTCACAATGGAGAGAGAGAGAGAGAGAGAGAGAGAGAGAGAGAGAGAGAGAGAGAGAGAGAGAGAGAGAGTAGTATAGTTAA